AGTCTGCAATTGACACATTCCCTAGGAAGCTGAATACCCTGAGCGATTTTTTCGGCGCAGTACCGGCAACGCGGCTGCTCGCAGGGACAAGCGCGCGCCCCGTGCCCCCATCTGGAACAGTTGGCGCAAAAATGAGGTAATTTGAAGACAACACACCTGGAAGGCGCCATGCCCCAACAATTCTGATGATTTTTGGGGATTTTCTCCCTTTCATATGTGATGATGAATCGCTGTGTTATCACTTTAATGCGCTTAGCGTGTAGTCTTTTCATCGTATTCCGTGATCTCACTGGTTATTCGAAGGATTTCTCCTGCCGCTCCGGTAGTAGTTATACGTGTAAGAATTTCATTCTTACAAAGTACATAAATATTATTTCTGCCTAGTTTTCATTCCATGGCTCCTTTTTTGTTGAATGGGGCCATCTTCAGGACTTGAGACACCCAACGGTATTTGTCCCCATATGTCGCTTAGCTTTGTATCCCTCTTGAAATATACATGTTCTGCACACTTACTTAACTGCCTCTTTGCCGTTTATATTGCTCGTTCGTTTCCGATGTTCGTGTCGCTTGCCGAGATGTCCATCCCCGCCAACAGAGAGAAACGGGCCTGGGTCTTCATTGATAAACAGGTGTTCTGAGGTCAGGTGATTCGCCGAAATTTCGCTCACAAACAGACCTCACCTATTTGCTGTGGGTGCGGTCAGCGTAGATCGCACAGATTCCTCATATAACTACTCATGTGTCAGGTATGAATTAATTAATGTTTTTTTCCCACCTTCACTGCAAGTCGCTTTAGATCCTCATAGATATTTCATGAGCATGGCCACGCACTCGTTCACTAAATCGAGAGGTCTTTGTAGGTCCCAACGTCTAGGCGATTAGGCAGACAGAAGTCACACTAGGTCACCTGTCAGAAATACGTCGTTTCTCTTTGATGGCTGATTCGGAACTGAGAGAGAGAAAGAGATAGATATAGAGATAGAGATAGATAGAGAGACAGATAGATAGATAGATAGATAGAGAGAGAGAGAGATAGAGACAAAGATAGATAGATAGATAGAGATATATCAAAAGAGAGAGCGAGAGCGAGAGAGAGAGAGAGAGAGAGAGAGAGAGAGAGAGAGAGAGAGAGAGAGAGAGAGAGAGAGAGAGAGAGAGAGAGAGAGAGAGAGAGAGAGAGAGAGAGAGAGAGAGAGAGAGAGAAAGAAAGCGAGAGAGAGAGAAAGAGAGAAGATCGAAAGAAAGAGGAAAGAAAGCGAAGAGAGAGACAGACAGACAGACAGACAGACAGAAATACCCGTGTATATTCAGGTAAACAGCAAAGGTAATAAAACGGAGCTGAGTGCAACGTGAACGAAGTCAGTTGCCAAGCTATGCTCAAACTCTCTCAAGGATGGTATTTATGCCTGACAAATGGCTGTGTGTCATGCCTCTTCCTTTTGTGTCAATTAAGGATAGTTCCTCCCTATGCCTTAACTAACTCACCGTACATATTCATAACTAATCATTTGTCATATGAGTCTTTCAAGGCCAGTCATTCCGGGAAAAAATATGAATTTATTAGTTACTGAAACATTAATAGATAAGAGATGTGGTAAACAACGCACCGTGTCAAAGAACCCTTATGTCAACCCTTTTTTATGATAAATGTCTAAGGACACACGATATTTACTATTTATGAAAGGCATGAATCATCTTTTATGTATTTGTTATGTGTTATTATTCCTGCTGGTTCTCTTACTGCTATTAGCGATGGTGATGATACTCTCTCGTGACCTTGACATATAGAGAGAAATTATTTTTTGTTGTTATCATCATCATCGTAGTTGTCATTTTTGTTATTATTATTGTGATAGGAATTGAAAATGGTGGTGATAATGATGATGATAACGATGGTAAGAATAATGGTGATGATTATGTTGATAAATGTAATAGAAATGATAATAATGATAATGATAATAATATTAATAATAATAATGATGATGATAATAAATGAATAGATAAATAAAGCAACAGTAAGGAAGTGATATTTTAATACTACCATTATTAGTAGTATTATCATGATAATGATATAAAATGATGATAGCAATGCTATTATTAATGATTATTAACTTATCGTTATCATTATTATTTTGCCATTATTATTATTATGAACTTTACTATTATTATTGATGATAATGATAACGATAGTAATAATTACATTATCATTATTGATATCATTATTACTAGCGCTATTATCGTTATCATTATCATTACTATTATCATAATTAATGTTTTCATTATCATTATAACTGTTATTATTATTATAGTCTTATCATTATTATTAGTAAACTTATCACTATCATTATAAGTAGTAATCTTATCATTATTATCATCATGGTTATCATTGGTATTATTTACTTTATTATTAATATTATTGTTACTATTACCATCATTAGTAGCTTTACTGTTATCATCATTATAATCAACATTATTAGCAGTACTAAAACCCTTTGTATGA